GAAACAGAACTTGTATCCTGGGTTGTATTTGACTGAAGTGACGCTTGACGCGTATAAGGTCCCAGAAGAAACGAAGAAGGTATGATGATTATCACAGTCCTCTTTCTCTAAATCATTCATTAGCCTTTAAAGTTGGAAACTGAAAAAAATCTGATTTTTATGGCTTTTACAGAATCTGCAGAGATGATGAATTGTAATTCAGTTGCCGTTGAAGGAATGTCAAATGTCAATATTTGAATCTGTATTTGGGGTCAAGTCTTTTGAAGCTTCTTCCTTTGCTCTACTCTGCTAATTCTCGTTTCTTAATTATTCTTTCTTCCCAAAATTGTTCTGAATAAAAACTGTACAAAAGTTATGGGGACGTGTAGGTTCTGGTTTGATTAATACATAATAAAAAAAAACTTGGTTCATTCTTGCCTGACTTTAACTTACTTTATTCCAGAAAGGTCACATTGCAGTGCAAATCTTAAGGCCAAGTAACAATATAGTAGCTACAGAGATCTTTTACTGTTGTGAGGAAATTTGTTCTCTTTTTATAGCTTAGGTGTTCTCTCTCGATGTCAGCTTTATCGTCTGCTTTATTAGTGAAAACATGAGACATTGATGCACCGACAGAGGAAAATCCAGTTATCTTAATTGCGTGAGATTGGTCAGCAAAAAGGCTTGTCTTTTGTTTCCCATTTCATCTACTTGTGCGTCAGATTGCAGTTACAGAGCAAGAGGAAGAGCTTGATGTTTGAAGAATAAGACAATGTCCTCTTTGAGATTGTTGAGTCTGTGCAAAGAGTTTACTTTCACTTGTATGCTCGGATTGAACACACAGGTTGTTATTAATCTCAACAAGACCCGCGAGTATTTTTGATCAACCATTCATTGGTCGCAAAATTAGTCACTGATTCTTCTGAAGAAAAGATAGCAATTCGTCTTGTGTAGGACTTTTTTTTTTTTCCCGCGTCGCCGTCGTTTCCGCTTTCCTGAGTTTTTTTTTTGAGTCCTTTGTTTGACTCCTTCTTTTCCGGTTAACTTCTTCCCGGTTAGGGTTAACCAAATTTTATCTGGTTAATCAATCGCCCTGCTTGACCTTGACTCTTCCATGGTCGGCACCCCTATGATTGAAAGTCTATTGCCAAACTTACAAAAATGTCACTTTTGTGTCAACATTTGTAAAAATATCACTAATTATATTTTTTTTAGAGTCTAAATCTTAAAATTCTAAACCCTAAAAAATATTTTGACTCCTAAACCCCCAAAACTAAACCCTAATACAACATAGTTAACCCAAACATAAATGATATAATTAATAAATAATTTTKAAAAAGTGGCATTTTTGTAAAGATTGTAAAAAGATGGCATTTTTGTAAAGATTGTAAAAATGTGGTATTTTTTGAAATTTCTCTTATAATAATCCAAAACTCCGATCTGTTAAGAATTGTGGGCTTTAGAAAGAAAGAAAAATTAACTTGAATTGTTGATTTCACAA